TACAGTGATGATCAGCATGTCTTACATTTCTTTATTAAAATGTATTTATTTAAAAACAAAAATTTGTATTCATTTTTATTTTTTAAAGGCATTAAGTCCAAAAATGTCAGGATGATAAAACTGTCCTGATATCAATGTAGAATAGACTGAAATTTAAATGATAATAATTTGGCATGATTTTTATTAATATTTGCAAATCAAAGTCATGCGGTCCAACAAACATGCAGAAATATATATGGTGTATATCGTTACACCACTTTTAGAGTCGTAATTTCAAAGTTTCTTAAAACTGTTATAATCTCTGGCATATTTTTCTCAACCACTCTCTCCTTTGCTTCATACAGCCTCAGTATATTGCCCTGGAGCAGCTGTGCCAGGAGTTTGCTGTGGAGCTGCTTGGAATGTGCCGGAACCAAAGTGAGGTCACCACCATCCTGAACAGCCTTGGGGATCAGGATGAGGACAGTGAGGATGAGTTGGACCAGCAGGCGTTTGAGGAGGGCATTCCAAACCTGGCTCGCTTAAGGCTTGCCGTCAACTATAATCAAAAACAAGTAGAACCCCAAGCTTTAACCCCTTAAAACAAATAAAAAAAGGAATTGCTATTTATTCATTTAGCTAATCATTGTTTGTACTGCAGTTTGTAGCGCACCCGATCTGCCAGCAGGTGTTCTCCTCGATCTGGTGTGGGAACCTATCAGGCTGGAGGGGCAGCAGAACAGCCTGGAAGCTCCTGGTGTCTTTTGGGATCTTCCTGACCATGCCCATCCTTTGCCTCATCTACTGGATTGCACCAAAGTCAAAGGTTTTTGCCAAATATATTCAAATATTCAATCATTCTACACTGTAAAAATGATTTCTGCTGCTTGTTCAATTTAATTTAAGGAATAGTTTACCCCAAAATTAAAATTTACTCAACCACAGGCTATCCCAGATGTAGACGAGTTTGTTCTTCATCAGAACAGATTTGGAGAAATTCAGCATTACATCACTTGCTCACCGATGGATCCTCTGCAGTGAATGGGTGCCGTCAGGAGTCCAAACAGCTGATCAAAACATCACAATAATCCACATGAGTCCAGTCCATCAATTAGCATCTTTTGAAGCGAAAGGGTGTTTTATGGGTTCACATTTGGGTTCACAACTTTAAACCAGAAGCGACGATTTAAAGTTAAAATGCCTTCATGGTGGATTTTTTTTTTTACAAACACAGCTTTTCACTTCACAAGACATTAACTGATGGACTGGAGTCGTGTGGATTACTTATTGTGATGTTTTTATCAGCTGTTTGGACTCTCATTCTGACGGCACCCATTCACTGCAGAGGATCCATTGGTGAGCAAGTGCTACATTTCTCCAATTCCATTCTGATGAAGAAAGAGAGTGAAAACATTTTCAGCATAGTTTCATTTTTGGGTGAACTATTCCTTCGATTAAAATTAGTTGAAGCATCTAAATTGCTGGACATTTTGTTTCTACTTAACTTAATTGTGTCCAGTCTACTTTATGTAATGTACTTAAATATGTAAAACTGAAGTTTACTTAATTTTTATTTTTTTTGCACTAACTGAAACTGGCCAGTGAATTTTTAGTTTATAGCATGCTTTGCATAGGGCTGGATCAGGAGAATAAATGTTAGTGTTATTTTATATGTTTTTGAGTACAGGGGAAGACCTGTTACTGTTTAATGTTCAGTTTTGTTTGACATTTATGAAGAGTTTCTGTTTTGTTGGTTTTTGTGGTTGCCATTGTGCTGAGAAGTAGAGCTTATGGTTAGGTTGTGGGTGGCTACAATAATTAAATTTAGAATGCATGTACTATATGTTAGGGTGACCATACGTGGCATTTTGCCAGGACGCGTCCTGGCCAGGATTTCTATATTGCCTAAAATATCTAGGTTTTGGCTTTGTTTGAGTGTGCAGACCGATCGGTGTATGACATCAAAATACCTCGAGAGCATTTTGAAAGCATAAGGAACCGTCTGTATGGTATTTGGATGTCATACACCGATCGGTGTCTGCACACGCAAACAAAACCAAAACCTAGATATTTTAGGCAATATAGAAATCCTGGCCAGGACGCGTCCTGGGAAAATGGCACGTATGGTCACCCTACTATATTGTTGCTCCACAAGCAAAGAGCAATAGCTTTACTAATTTCAGTGCAGTTAGCTTCTTGCTTGTTCATTACAAACGATTGTTGTTTATTACAGAAGCTTTTTAATCATACAAAAACAATGAAGAGTTCGTATTATTCACTTTCTATAAGTAATTAGTTGACAAAGGTTGGGAAGACTTTACCTAATTTCTTTGTGTGTGCTATAGCTGTCTAACTTTAATTAACACATTGGAAGAAATCTATCCAAACACACTGAGTACATATTGTTTCCTCAGTTTTATCAAGTCAGTTCTATAGGTTTGTTTTTACAGACTTCCATGCATCCACCCATTCTCCAAAAAGCTGCAGAGTCGCTGGGATGCTGTAATCTATCCCAGCGTCTCAGGCTAAAGGCAGGGAAACACCCTGGACATATGGCCCATCGCAGGAATATTCTACTAAAAAGTGAACCATCTTCTATTTTCTTCTCAGTTGGGGAAGACTTTGAAGATCCCAGTGATTAAATTCCTTCTCCATTCGGCATCATATATGTGGTTCCTGATCACACTTCTGGGGGAATCTATTGCCATGGAGGTGTACCGGGACAGCTTTGCCTCTCGTGAGCAGACCATCCTGCACAACTCCTTCCACATGGTCTGGGTGGTGGGTAGGTCTTAAGAACCACATGTAAAAAATGGTTATGAGAAATTGGTAGGAAATCAGTTCTGCATTCATTTTGCTGCGAGATCTTCAACTTCAGGTCTGCATTTCTGAGCATTAGACAGTTATAAAACAATAATTTAGTGGTTATTAATCCTGTCAAACAGGTTTTTTCTGGTTCGAGTGTAAGGAAGTTTGGATCGAGGGCTTGAGGAGTTATTTCCTAGACTGGTGGAACTGTCTGGATGTGATGGTTCTTAGCATGTACCTGGCTTCATTCGCCCTGAGAGTGGTCATCATGCTCAAGGTCCATTTTCTCTGCCAGTTACCTGACAAACAGGATGAGTGTGTCTACTTCACCGAAACTTGTGAGAGAAAGTACTTCACTAAGCGTCACAATTTAGCCTACAATATGGCAGCTCATTGGCCTGCTAGAGTAATGTATTTCTGGCTGTACAGTGCGTGATGAGTGGCATCAGGAGGATCCCCAGTTCATCGCTGAGGTGCTGTTTGCGGTGACCAGCATGCTGAGTTTCACTCGCCTGGCCTACATCCAAATTTCATTACAATTGAAAATAAAATATCAAACCAAGGTGTAGTTTATCACTTTAACTATGAACATACTGACATTTTGAACAATATAACTTCGAACTCTTCTATTAATTTGAAAGTTTACAAAGTCTTTTGAAATGTTCACTTGTTCTATATTTTTTTTATAATAAATGGCAATTGGTTATGCTACAGTATATATTATATATAAGATTTTTTTTGTAAAAAATAAAATACTTTTACATGGATAAAAAACAACAGTACAACTGTTTCCAACATTGATAATAATAGATTATTGAGCAAATCAGCATATTAGAATGATTTCTGAAGGATCATGTGACTGAAGACTGGAGCAATGATGCTGAAAATTCATCTTGCGTCACAAGAATAAATTACATTTTAAAATATATTCAAATAGAAGTTATTTTAAATCATAATATTTGACAATATTGCTGTTTTGCTGTATTTCCTACCAAACTCAAAACTTATGAACAGCAGTCTTGTTTTTAAGTGTGCCTTACGTGACAAAATACTTTTTGGCGCCATTGTGTATACTGTATAACGTACTTTGAGAGAAGCATTCTGGTTGTTTGGTCCTCTGAAGCTGTAAAATAATTTGTAAATCATGTAGATTAAATCATCATAGTAGTCATGTCATTAATAAAATCCATAGAGCATGATTTCACAATATTGTACTCATAATAAATATGCAATGTAAAATTTCATTGTAATAGAAATTAATTCCTATTAAAGCAATCATTTATTAATTTTAACTATATAAAAAAAAAACCTGAATACATAGATGCACGAGAGGACATTTATCACCCCAGAGATCACATGCACATGTTGCAGCTTGTTTAACACCTGCTGTTTGTGACACAGCTGCTTTTCCCACGAGGCCTCTGACTATTCATTAACCAGTCACCTGCAGCCTGACTCTCCCCATGCACCTCTACTGGAACGTCACACCTGTTCCCATAACCATAGGAATATATGACCCTTTACTGCACACAGGGTAATGCTGCTGGGGTTACATCAGCAAACAATATCTTAGCACTATTATATTTGGTCATGAAAACGCTCGAAAAGTTTAACATGTTAATGTGTTGGCGGTCTTCGTGGAATAGATCTGCTATGCCGCTGCGGCGGAGCAAGTATGGAGACTTGCTACTGCCAATAAATCTAGACATACTGCTGCTGCACATATAACACATGAAACTACCCCATAGCAGATCTATACAGGTGGAACTGGGGAAGGTGGAGGGTTTCTGACAGGGGCTGCAACTGCTACAGCAAGCACCGATCAAGTATTTGAACGTTGAGCAAGCTCATTGGCTGCTGATGCAATTAAAACCAATTGGCTGCACCATGTGAATGATGTGATTATATCAGGTTGAGTTGACCTATCGGCCCACACCATCTAGAGTTTCATGACTGAACTTTGCGTAATCAGTTAAAAGCTGTTTAAATGTAAAATAAGTGAAACTCATAGTCAGTGCATAAAGCTAAACAAATCAAACATACATTTCCAAAAATATAATTCCCTGATGTCACGTCTGCATAACACTAAAAATTACAATGAGTTCTATGTTAACCAACCCATGAGTTCTATGAAACTCCACCTCAAGCATCATATTCAAAATTATTCCAAAACCTCTTCATAAATTTGAAACGAGTAATTTTTTTTTTTACTGAATTCTTTATTGGTATTGTATACAGGAGTAAAGTATACAGGAAATGTAAATTAATAATTATTCTCTAAGACCATTTAAAAAAAGATAGAAGACTGTACAAGACGCATATTGTTAGCCATCCTAATGGTCCTTGTCAACAGGAGTTCAATTCATGAACCGCACATCAGACACTCGTCACGGTTCTCCAACGAACACACCATAGCAGCTTTGTTGCGTTCTTTGGTTTCCTCCTCGTTGCTTGTACTGTTCTGCATCTCCTTCAGCTTTTCTTTGTTGAGAGTGAACTGGATGGGGTTGGCGGCTGGTTTAGTTCTCAGGTAGTACATTCCTGTTTTAAGACCCTGTGGAGAACAGCAGATGTACCATTGATCCATCAACTCTAACTTCTAGACTTCCAAATCCTTGCTAAGGAAGTATCTAGTTTACCTGCTTCCAGCCATAGAAGTGCATGCTGGTCAGTTTGCCATAGTTGGGTTCAGCAATGTGGATGTTGAGGGACTGGCTCTGGTCAATGAAGGCTCCTCTGTCTGCAGCCATCTTTAAGATGGTCTTTTGCGAGATCTCCCACACAGTCTTATACAGCTCCTTCAGGTCATCTGGTATTGTGGGAATGCCCTGCAAAAAGGAGGACATTTAAAAAGGGACACAAAAGCAAAAACGGGGGGATCTGTGATTTTGTCATCTGAATTGGAAATGCCAACTAACCTGGATGGATCCGTTCTGAGCAATTAGCTGGTTTTTCATTTCTTCGTTCCAAAGTCCTCGTTCTGTGAGGTCTTTGAGAAGATGTGGGTTCACGATCTAGAAGTAAATGTAACCCACCAATTAATTATATACAAAATCATCAGTTTATCTGTTCTTGCAAACGTATAATGTAACGTCAGGCTCACCTGAAACTCTCCAGACAGAACTCTGCGTGTGTAGATGTTGCTAGTATACGGCTCGATTGACTCATTGTTGCCCAGGATCTGAGCAGTGGAGGCAGTGGGCATGGGAGCCAGCAGCAGACTGTTACGCACTCCATGCCTGGGAAGCAAAAATAAAAAATATGAGTCCAACTTACAAAAAATTTACAAACGTACTACGCATACAATAAAAATCCCATTAAATCATTATTTATATTTATCTTACTCGCTCATATTTGTTTGATATTTTTAACTAATTACAATTACTAAACTATGTATTAAAACACTTCATGTCAACTTTTAAAATTCCCTGACACTTCCAGGTCTTCCACAGATTTGTTGAGATTATGAATCATGCAAGTGGTTACTAACTTTGCAATCTTCTCCTTGAGTGCGGCCCAGTCCCACAGGTCTGTAGGTGTCTTCTCCCACATATCATACTGCAGGATCTGTGAAATCATGCCTGGAACAATTAGAGCCCTGTACATCTCAACTGCCATCCAATTTCCTTCCTTTACGAAAGGTAAATTTAAGACTTAAAAGACCTTTTTTAGACCAGTAAAATTCAATTTAAGGGAAAAATTGATGGGAACACAAGACAATATGTTCTTTAAATGTTAATTTGTAGGGAGTACACAATGAATTATATTAGCAACACTTCAATATTTGAAAATACAACTTCCAACAGATTTCCTTTTTAATTCATTTTAAGTTTATGATTAGAATGAGAACAGCTATCTGGCAATATGCTCAGAAAGATAAACTCAATTGAAAACACATTTTCATAATCCGCTAGCAGATGCTGGTTTTTGTTTTAAGCATAAAATAATTTAATTTTATTCTGTTTCTAAGAAAATAAGACTTATCCTTAAATCATTTTAAGGCCTTAAATCACATTTGCTTGAAATATAAAATGGCATGTTTAAATATTTTTACTGGAAGACGAGACAAAATACTGAATAAGAATTTTTTGCGTTGCATGCAAACATTTCATGCCATGACTATGTATTTAAAACTTTCTGCCCTGATTTAAAGTCCCCCTGTGGTGAAGTTTTTTTGTTGTTTATTTGTCAATGTGGTGTTTTTAATATGCTTTTAGACAAACTATGTGCCAATCCATTTATCAACACCATTGCGGAGTATTTTCTCCTTAAAACTGTAGTTTCCCAAAGGCAGTCACAGAAACGTGGTGTGAAACAGCCTTTGTTTTGCCACAAAAATTCAACCAATCGCGTCAAGGGATCCTATCCTTAGCATATCATTAACTGTGCTGCAAAGCAGAGGGTCTAGTGAGAAGGCAGCCAGGTTAATCAGGTAACAGTTATATTTTTTTCTGTAGATGTTTCGCTAACTGTTCATATTTCCCCCTATTTTTTACAATGTCATGTGCTGTTAGCGCTTATTTATTTGTATTCCGAACCGCTAGCTTGAATAATAACCCGCGGCAGCAGTGTAAAAGTAGCCCGGAGACAGACACACCTCTCCCGCATTGACAATCGCACGTCACACGCGTATGATCGCGGGCGCGATTTGGAATCACACACTTGGCTGCATTTGAGTCTTCAAGGCATTTTGAGGACACAACATCGTCAAGTAAGTAAATTTAACAAATGTTACAGTATCCACTGTAGTTGTCCGCTAGTAAAAAACAGTTGTATCAGTCACTATCCGTGTACGAACCAGCGCAAACAGATAATGTTACCTCACGAAGTTAGCCATCAGTCTCCTTGCTTACGTTGAGCATAGCAGCTTATTTCTGGTTCAAACACATAAGGCTTAAAGGGGTCATATGATGCGATTTCAATTTTTTCTTTCTCTTTGGAGTGTTACAAGCTCTTGGTGCATAAAGAAGATCTGTAAAGTTGCAAAGACTAAAGTCTCAAATCCAAAGAGATATTCTTTATAAAAGTTAAGTCAACCAAGCCTACCTAAAACGGCTCGTTCGAACACGCCCCCACATATCTACATCACGATGTGGGAAGATTGGCATAACGCCACCCAAATGTTCACGCAAAGAAAGAAGGCGTAACTTTTATTCTC